TGGGGAGCGGCTGAGGGAGCTGGGGGGTTCAAGGGGAGAAGAGGAGGTGAGGGGAGCCCTGATCCCCTCTGCAGCTCCTGCCAGGAGGGGGTAGCAAGGGGGGGCGGTCTCTGCTCCCCAGGGATGAGGGGAAACGGCCTCAAGTTGTGCCAAGGGAGGGTGAGGTTGGATTTTGGGAGGAATTTCATTACTGAAAGGGTTCTCAGGGGCTGGCAGGGGTTGCCCAGGGCAGTGGTGGAGTCCCCATCCCTGGAGGGATTTAAAAGACATGGAGATGTGGCACTGAGAGACATGGTTTACTGGTGGAGTTGGCAGTGCTGGGTTAATGGTTGGACCCAATGATCTTAAAGATCTTTTCCAACCTCAGTGATTCTCTCATTCTATGAAGTTTAGAGCCTGAGAACATTTATGTATTTACCTCGCTGGCAAATGTTGTGGACAGTGTCCATGTGGCGGATCTGTTACTGACAGACGTCACGTGTGTGTGTGCTCTTGCCAGAATACGGCTGTACCCTGGAGGAGGACATTGTCTCTGACACTTCTTCCATGTTTCGAAGAGTCCTCGTGTCCCTCGCGACGGTGAGTCCAGGCTAAGGGAGATGGGGGTGAATCCTCCTGTTGCTGATGGATGTAGGAGTTTCAGCTGGTTTATATTGCACTTATCTTGCGTTTCGCCCAGCCTGCATTTCACACCCAGCTTCTGCAGGGAGAGGGCTCTGACACTGGGTGTTCATTAATACCACAAGCTCTTTTTTAAATGGCCCAGTTAAAGTGGATTGCTGCTCATGTCAAAAGGAAGTATAAATCCCATCTGAGCCATATTTTGTCCTATTTGTAAGCTACTATTCCATTTTAAGGATCCCATTATGCATCTCCAGTAACTTGTTTTGATTGGGGAATTTGCAGAACCTGCTTCCTTTAGTTTCTCTGGTGCAATGAGTTTTTCATCCTTTTACCTCTGCAGGGAAACAGAGATGAGGGGATGTACGTGGATGATGCCCTTGCTCAACAGGATGCCCAGGTGTGTAGTGATTTGCTTCCTTGCAAGAACTGTCTGTTCCTGTACAGCTTTTCCTAGACCTCATTTTTTCCAAGGTAGAGCAGAAGGCAGCACCCTAAGGGGAAACCTGGGCTCTGCTCTCAGTTTTGACTGTTAGAGCAGCCTCTTCCCTGTCCTGACTCAGCTGGTGAAATGGGGATAATGGTTCTAAAGGAGGAAAATGCGAGTGTGTGGTCAGAGGTCTCTGGGCAGGCTGGGTTATTTTGGAGGGGAGACGCCTTTTCAATTGAGAGTTGCTGTGCTTGGTTTAGTATTTGTTGGAAAACAGCTGTGATCTGGACAAGCTGAAGCCCCAAGGAAGTAAAAATCTGATGTTGTGTACCCCTGGTCTTCTCAATTCGCCTCACTTTATGTGTTCATGTCTTCAAGTGCCTGTATGAAGCTGGGGAGAAGAAATGGGGAACAGATGAGGTCCAATTTATGGCCATCCTCTGCACACGGAACAGACACCACCTACTAAGAGGTAGGGCCCTCTGCACTGGGTTTTTTCCCTTGTTTGAGGACAATACCTTTGTAGGAGCTCTGTATTTGCTCATCAGCTGATTGTGAACTCTTCCTGAGACAGCAGGTATCCCACAGCTCAGCCGTATTTAATTCTTTAAGACCGTTTTCTTTCCTCCTAAACAAAAAGGGACTTGAGAAAAACTTCAGTACAACTCGCTCCAGCCTGTAAGTCAGAGATAATGAAGTGTGACTCCCATCGGGGCAGAGCTGAGCGTTTACACTGCCATCATTAATGAGCAGTTCTTGAAAACGCTGGCAGCAGCGGTAGGCCAATTAGCAAGACAGTTGATAATTAAAATGAATTATTTCTGTGGGACAGCCCTGATTTAGCTTACAATATCCCAGGAATGGTACAACGTTCAGCAGAGCGTGAGGAGCTTGATCTTGCAAAGTGATCCTTGGTGGTTTACGCTCCGTGTGTCCCACAGCAGCTCACTCGCTCTTTTGTGGACTTTTCCTCCCAGTTTTTGATGCGTACAGAGGGATTGCTAATAAGGACATAACAGACAGCATTAAATCCGAGATGTCAGGAGACCTCGAAGACGCTCTGTTAGCTGTGGGTGAGTTTCCCTGCTTTTAAACTTGTCTACAAAGTAATTAAATAATTAGAGATATTGTCTCTTGCCCTGGCTGGCTGTTTACACAAATACTGGGTTTGTCATTTTTTTTTGCAAGCCACAGTGTTTTAATCTTTGCAGATACAATTGGGTGAGAAAGCTCTGTGCTTTCTGATATTGCTTCCTTTCCCAAGTGATGATTTGGTAGCTGATATTTTCTGTCAGGAAGCATTAAAGGGCTCAGTGCTGGGTCCAGTGCTGTTCAACCTCTACATAAATGACCTTGATGAGGGGATTG